TTCCCTGCTGACAGCAATCAGGAGACATTCAGCTGCTCCTATTTGGAGCTCAGGCTCGTTTAGAAGCAGACACAACATCTCCAAGAGCTTGCAGTTGTCTGCTGTGATGTGGCTCAGGGCTACCCAGTCAATGTAACCAGCCAAGGTGTTGAGTGCTGCTATGCCCACGCGGCAGTTTGCCTGGGCCTGTGAACAGAGACGAGGCAAGAGGTCAGCACCAGAAACACCAATTCCCATCAAAAGCTGTCCACTTCCTGGCATTAACAGTACTGGCAACCACTCTGAAAGAATGAGACTTGGACCCTCCTGCTGCCACCCTCTACTGCTCCCTTCTCAAGGAGTTTGTACTATGGGTGAACAAAGCCATCTGCAAATGAGACCTGCAGAGAGCAGACTCCAAAGCCTGGGAAAAGCCTAGTTCTAAGCAATCTCAGCCTTAAGAATGACTTCTGCCCTAACTCCCATGTAGCTCCACTCACCTTTGGCTCCTGAGCCAGATCAGTCTTCTGAAAAAGAAAATGAGAGATGGTAAGTGAGCAACGGCAGCACATACTTCTGCCTAGCCACTGCTCAGCAGGCTTAGGTATTCTTGAGAATGCAGCCAGAAGCAGCTTCACAGAGTAGCTCTCTAGCGAGAGAGGCTGCAACACAGTCTCTCCCTCTGGATGCTGTTGCAGCAATCAAAACCACCTCTGCAGCCCCCCACCATCCCCCACAGGTAAGACAACAGGTCTTTAAACTGCAAGCTGTAATTTCCTTCCCATCCAAAAGATGACAAGCCAGTCAGCAGGCACCAGGGACACAGAGGGGACAAGAAGAACAGGAATTTTTTTGCTTCCTGGAAGCTTCCAAAGAAACTTCTGACCTTTTATAGCATCTTACACCCAAAAGACATACTCTTGAAAGATGCTGGTGGCTTTTATGTACTGAGATTGATGTCGGAAAAAGATGATTTGTCAGTGGTCAGAAAGGCAGCATGAGGGAGAGCCAGGGCAACAGCTTATGGCCTAACTCCCAGTTCCAAATACTTAGTGGCAGCAATGCGCCGCTTGGCAAACAAGTCCCTTGTATGCTCAGGTTTGATTTGCTTTTCAGATGCAAAGACACCACAAGTGTTTCTTTCCATTGCAAGGTTCTAGTTTGGAAACTCCGTCCAACCATGATTTTAATCTGGTTGCGTCCCAAACATTTAACAACTGAGCCACAGAACTGCACACTTATAAGCACTGCAGATTATCGTTGTCTTGAGGAACCGTCCATCATCTCCCCCAGTCTGTGTGCAGATGGGAACACCCAACCCGCAGAATCTACCCTCTGCACAAACATCCCAAAGATCTGCTAACCTGTGGAGTGGTGAGGGCTTCTTGCTCCTGGGGTGCTCCAACCTTGCCAATCAGAAAGATTCCACCGTTAGCAGAAACAGCCGCACTTCAGAGCCTCAAACACTGCAAGTCAAACCTTACCTGGAAATGCATTTCAACCAGACTACAAAATGCACCAGGGTCTCCCACCCACCACTGCACAGAGAACTGTCTGCATTAGATGTAGTTCTGTTCAGCCTGTCAGTGCATCAGAAAAATGGATAGAAGTCAGGTTGGAGAGGGTTTTTTTTCACTGCCTCCCAGTTTCACATTTAGTGTAACCGGATTCTAATTCATGGGAGAAAAAAGAACAAGAGACACCTAATAAACTTATTTATAGATTGGTTTCTTAATTGTGCTTCACTCCCAGATGCACTTCCTTCTCAGAGGAGCAGACTGGGGTAGAGACTTGCCTTTGCCATCCCTCCTGACCAACCTGCATACCTCTGACTCTAGGAAACAATCGAGGAAATATGAGACCCTTCACACAAACAGAAAGGACATTCCTCACCGCAACTTGACAAAGGGCTTCCTGACCTGAGGTCACAGAGAAAAGGACCAGAGAGGCCCAAACACAACGCCGAGACATCAAAAACTCATTCATTCCGGTGCATCAGCACAAAGACACCACTGCAGCATAAGAGAGCAGATGCAAGCCTAGGATGGCAACTCTTTACCACTGTGTGTGACTACCCCAAACCTACCAATTTCTGCCAGAAGCTCACCTTCGTTTTGCTAAGCCGAATACCCCTGCTGTCAGCAGAGCACTCCAACAGTATGGATGGGCATGTATCCGCTCAAGGCACTAGCAAATCCAAACTATCAACACTAACCCTTGTGTTGTTCAGTAACCTTGTGTGTTCAGTCTCTCTGACCAGCACCGGCTTCCCGGGCCACAGCCCATCGATCCCAACTCACAGCGACAACAACAGATTTCACACAGTTTCTGCACTTGCTTCCCCAGCAACTTGCAAGTTGCACCCCAATTCCTAAACGCCTCCAGCGCTGGCTGAACCCAAGGAAAAGAGCCCTTACCATGCGCCTGTACTTGTTGACGTTCTGCTGCAGGGTAGTTAGGAGGAAGCTGAAGATCTTCTCCATGTTCTGGGTGAGGGTTTGCTGGATATCTCGTCGCCGCTGGGTAGGCAGAGTTTGAAAAGTCACCACATCCTCTGCCAAACGGAGGAGGATGAACATCACCAGTTCCGTCTGAGTTTCCTGATGTCCCAAAATTAAATACACTCCATCAGCACAACACAAACAATAAAACCTCTATAGGCTAGGTCAGAGATGTAGGGAGAACGCAAGCATGCATGAAGACACAAGCCACAGTTTGGGAAAAAAGACAGGAGGATGGCCCTCTCTTTGCAAAAATCACCTCCTAGGATAAATTATGGGGATTTTTGGGTCCGCCATCAGCCTGCCTCACCTGACCATAAGTGATTTAGGCTTTCCTCAGGATGATGAAAGACTGAAACCCATAGTAGAAGCAAACAGAAGAGAACAGATGGGTGTGTTTCATACCCCTTGCTTGGAGAGGGTATCCAGCTCCTTTAGCATGTCAGGCCAGTGCTGAGGCCATTCACGCTTGATCATCTCCACCACAATGCGAGACAAAACATCCTTAATGTGACTTTCCTCCTCCAGTATACTTTGAGTTCCCTGTGACAGAAGAGAGGCAGAGTTATACAAAACGGCAAATATCACACATTTATAATTCTGACCTGGGAAGCATAGTGGCTGCAAATATTCTAAAGCACACAAAATAAAAACAACAAAACAAACCATGACATTGGCCAGTTCTTCACCTGAGCTGCCCTGGATGATACTCCTACCCTCCCAAGCACCCACAGCTAGTCAACTCTGGGAACCAAAAAAGACTTTCTTCAAGAGAAGGTCGCTTTGTCACAAAAGCAATCACAATGACAGAGAAAACGACTTCAGTATTCTCGGAAATGACAAGAACATCCTATTTACTGAATTTCATCCTAAGAAAAAGTACTTTATATATATTATACAAGCCTCACAATTTCCTGTCACATTAGGTGACATGGTTAGTGACCTGACTGCAAGGCAGAGAAGCAAAGGAACATCCAGGGATGCACAGTAAGAAAGTAATGACATGCAGAATTGAATTCAGGTCCTCTGTGCTAATTAACCGGAGTCTTTCTATCTTTTGCTCCCATTTTCTACCTCCAAGTGAGAGAATCGTATTTCAGAGACCAGTCGGAGGTAGAAGGTACTCACATTAGATATAAGGCCCATTACATTGTTCTTCAGATAAACTTTATCTAGGCGAGGCATATTGTTCCAGCGGTACCTGTGAAAGAGTTTTTTTTTAAAAAAAAGAAAGGAAAAATTAAGAGAGAAATAAAAAGAACACCAAGTCAAAACATTTATAAAAGTCCCTGACCTAATTCTTGGTGATCCCTTTACCTAAACTAGAGAAACAGAACAGCTCACTGACTCTGTCAGTGCCCAATCACTTAATGAATAAGCTGAGTTAAAAGTGCTGTTGGCAAATGGGCGTACACCACGGAGGTCGACAGGCATGAGAAGCAGCAGCAAAAGTACAAAGCATCAGGTCTGCCGAGGCAGCAGAGAGAAAAGTCTCAGAGCTGAACTAGTACAAAGCCTCTTTGTTAACATGAGGCTAATGACAAAGAATGCTCCAAAGGCCTACTGAAAACCCTTCGCACTTACTCACGTCTTGCAGTATCAGCGTGCCTTAGAGCTCAGCGAATTAACCTTCCCAACCTGCCTGAAAGCTATTTTATCCTCTCCTTCTTTTACAGAGGAGGATATAAACAAAGCAGGCCGGCAGCCCTCCTCTGCTGCAGGAGAGACTCTCTGCATCCTGAAAGTTGCCTCCTGGAAGCAAGCAATACTGGGAGGAGAGTAGAACCCATGCCAGCGGCGGCGTGGCAGCAGGCCGACACCCTTCACCGCTGTGGAGGCGTGGGTGGCGGGACGAGCTGCCTTACTTGACCACGTGCTCCAGGATCTGCAGGCCGAAGTGCCGGACGATGGCCATTTGCGTCTTCTCCGCCAGCTTCAGCCCGCAGGCCACACAGAAGGGACACTTCTCCTTGAACTCCTCGCAGAACTGGGGAAAGGACCGAGGACAGGCACACGCAGTTAAAACACAGGAGTGGGCCCGGGGCAGCCAAGGGGTGCCCGGTAAC